TAGAAAATTCCAGAAATAAACAATTCATATCTTCTAAGTTGCATGCCATTCTAAATATCATGATGAAATCTCTCATGCCTTCCCACTCCATCCACACTGAATACGCTACCCAACTATTACTCACTTAGTATTCATCTTGTTTCTCAGACTGGCTGTCATAGTATCACAGGGTTTGTGTTCAAGTACACCTCATTTTACTTAATAATGGCCCCAAAGTGAAGGAGGAGTGATGCTGGCAAATTGGATATGCCTAAGAGAAGTTATTAATCTCTTACTGTGCATAAGTTATAAATTAAACTTTATCATAGGTATGCGTATATAGAAAAAAACATAGTATATAGGGTTTGGTACCATCCAGAGTTTCAGGTATCCACTGGAGTTCTTAATATGTTTCTCCTGCAGATAAGGTGGACTACTGTACATTGAAAATTATAACATTAATGAAAGGAATTGAAGAAGATACAAAAAAATTGAAAGATATTCCATGTTCATGGTTTGGAGGAATTAACAATGTTAAAATACCAATACTAGCTAAAGCAATTTACACACTCAAAGCAATCTTTATCAAAATTACATTTTTCACAGAAATAGAAGAAATGACATTTTTCACAGAAATAGAAGAAACAATCCTCAAATTTGTATGGAACTACAAAAGATGCCAATAATCAGAGCAATCTTGAGAAAGAATAACAAACCTGGAGGCATCACACTCCCTGATTTAAAATTATATTTCAAAGCTATAGTGATCAAAACTGTATGGTATTGGCATAAAAACTGACACATAAATCAATGGAACAGATTAGAGAGCCTAGAAATAAACTCATACATGTACGGTTAATCACTTTATGACAAAAAGGAGCCAAAAATATACAATGGAGAAAAAGCCTCTTCAACAAATGGTATTGGGAAATCTGGACAACTACACGTATAAGAACACTATCTTACACCACACCCAAAAACTAACTCAAAGTGGATTAAAAACTTGAACATAAGTCTTGAAACCATAAAACTCTTGGGAAAAAAACATAGGTATTAGCTCCTAAACCGTGGTCTAGGTGATGATTTTTGGATTTGACACCAAAGGCAATTGCACTCTACCAATGGAAGAAAATATTTGCAAATTATTTATCTGATAAGGGGTGAATATCTAAAATATGTAAAGAACATATAAACTCAATAGCAAAAAATCAGTCTTACTTAAAAATGGGCAATGGATCTGAATAGATATTTTCCAATGGAGACATATACATGGCGAACAAGTCCATGAAAATCTGCTCAACATCACTAATCACCAGGGAATGCAAATTGAAATCACAATGATATCCTTTCACAATTGTTAGAATGGTTATTATCAAAAAGACAACAAATAAGAAGTGTTGTAAAGGATATGGAGAAAAAGGAACCCTCTGCACTCGGAAAAAAATGATCAAAGTTTCCCTTTATCTCCATTGTGTTCCCAAGTGTTTAAGATTGTCACATAAGTGTGAAATATTTCTCTTGTTAGATTATGGGCTGGAAATGAGGATGTGACTGATATTGTTAGAGCTGCAGAGAGTTTCATGCTCTACCATTTAAAAGTTCAAAATTTCAGGAAATTTTGAAGACGTAGACTAAGAAAATTTTCTAATGTGTTTTCCATATGGGAAGAATATAAAATCGGAGAAAATAGTTTTGTATTATGTGTTGAAGCTGAAACTACTTCCTCCCAAAAATATATGTGTCTTCACTGTCAATATCTGCGAATGTGATCTTATTTTGGAGTAGATCTTCATTAATGTAATGAATTTTAGATGAGGTGGGTAGGGTGGGTCTTAATCCAATGTGGATTGTATCCTTATAAAAAGGGAAATTTGGACACAGAGACATACAGGGAGAACACCATGTGAAGTCAGAGGCAGAGATTAGAATAATGCATCTACAAGCCAAGGAACACCAAGGATTGCTGGCCATCACCAGAAGCAAGGAAAAAAGTATGGAACAGATGCTTTCTTAAAGCTCTCAGAAGGAATCAACATTGTTGAAACCTTGATTTCAGACTTCTAGCTTTGAGAACTGAGACAATAAATTGGTTGTTTAAAGCCATCCAGTTTGTGGTATTTGTTATGACAGGCTTGGGAAACTAATAAACTATAAATCTTTGAAAGATTTATTTTCATTAACCTCTTCTGACTGTGTTTAAATATTACAATGAATTCATAATGTGGTAATGACAAGAAAGCATCTGATGGATGTTGCTATAAACTCATGCAGAGTTCCTAACAAGCCTAATAAGGAGAGATGATTTTTTTTCTTCTACAAATAAAGAGATGTTGAGGAACAATGGAAATATATGTGTTGCAGAGAGTATTTTGGTTTTACCTAATGACTAAATTGCTTTGTATGGAAATCAAAATTATATTTGTTTTTATTCAAAATATTAAAAGTTATATCAATTTGAGACAATAATTGCAATGAATTTCTTTAACTGAACTTACTTTTAAATGCTTTAAATCATTGTTAGATATAGAATTTGACCTTTTTAAAATTTTAAAGTGGTATTTACTAATTTGGGTCAAAACAGAATTAAGGAGACTCCAGTACTGGAACGTAGTATTGAAGTGCTGTTATGGGTAAGGGGGCTCAATTTTGCTAGCCATTCATGAGGAGTGTACATAGCATTTCCCATAATGACTGCCAAGAGAGGCAAGAAGATGCAGCATTTACACAGTCTCCTGTAACATCAGATAAGGCTTATACAAAGGCAAGAACTCTCTGGGCTGACTTGTACATGGGTCAAGTGGACACCTGGAGTTGAAGAGAAGGCTCTAGAGCAAAACTGAAAGATCATATTGCAAACTTGAAGTGAACTACTCTTAATGCAAGCTGAATTTCACCTTGCACAGAGCTAAAAAATATGTCTGCCCCTGAAATCAGAGGTAGTCTGAGAGAATGTGCCATGGGAAACCAGAGATGTTTGGTGCAATCATAAATGAATATTTGAGTGTGTATGCTCTGCCCTACTGGATCTTATAGTCCATTGAGGCAAGAGCAATGAAAAGAATAAGTATTCAAAGTATCATATAATTACCAAAAGCACCATCATCTAGAAAGAAAAAGAGCCAATTTTTCTGAGGGAGTATAAAGAGTTGACATGAAATGTAATTTATGTGGAGTTTCACAGATGAGTTTTCCAGGGAATAACTTTTAGGCCTTACTGCCTTCAGAGATGTATATTTCTAAATCAGACTCTGGCAAATTTTTCACTGATTATCCTGAAGTAAACTGGTAATGGTAAATAAGGCAATAGGTTGGTTTATCCTAGAGAAATCCTTTAACTCAGTTTAAAGTGGAAGAAATGGATTGACAGCAGGGTCTTCCTAGGCTAAGATTAATAGAGGCCATGGCTGATTGAGGTCTTGCTCAGACAAGGAGATTTAAGCCTACTTGATATGCTCAATTGGGTATATGACTCAGTTTTAGAGTTCCCAGAGGACAGTACTATAGAGCTATGGCTCATCCACCTACCTTCCCTCCAGCTAAAGACATGAATAAACTACAGTTTGGAAAACTGGGAATCTGTAAATAACATATATAGATAAATTAGGTAGCATAAAATGTATCTGACTAAATAACTTAATCAGCCCCTTTAAAAAGAGACAAAATATTTCCTCTAGCTGCAGCAATACAAGTTATTGCATTTACCTCTTTAGTGCTCACTCTCTCCTTTTATCAATTTTATTGAAGTATATTTTATGTATAACAAAATTCACTCAATATCTGCATAGTAAAGAATTTTCTCACTGCCAGACTATGTGAAGTTACTTTTTTCCCAGCATATAGAAAACCATAGTGTTCTGGACTAAGTTCCTTGTGTTCTAGATATCACCCTACCATCAGATTTGCCATGTTGACCTATCAGATATCAAATATAGTTATTATTTTAACTGCATGCTTTCTAATAAAAAAAGTCTTGTTCAAAGACTCCTTAGTGGTTGACAGGATTTAATGACTTAAGAAATCAGGTTTTCACAAAATATTACACCTGTACTGGAGTTTGACACAGAAGGAGCTCAGGACGCATACTTCTAAACTTATGTAAAGAAATAAGTTGAGACGTCATCAAGTGGCTTGCAGAACTTTGGAGGATTGTCCAAACACAAACTTAATTGATTCGAACAACAAATTAAGCGTATGTAGCTAACCTTAGAGATCAATGTGTGAGCTCATATGAGACACATTTGGTTTTCCTATAAATACTTTATAAGAGGAAGTAATTAACAACAAACTTATCAAGGACCTAGTAGGTGGCAGGCACTGTACCAAATCCTACAGATATGGCAGTGAAATATATGTATAGGGATCTAGCTTCATGGAAACTACAATCCAGTGCAGATTTGTGAAATAAGCAGGAAAGTACCAATTAGAACACTAAATGACAAAGCACAGGTATTTTGGATTGAGCACTATCACTACACATGATAGTTCTTAACTCAGATTCTAAGTTCTGATTAGGTGTCCTAAGTAAGAGACAGAATAAATAAGACAAGCAAATAAAGTATATAGATAATTAGGACAGAAAAAAGACTGTTTCAGGCTAGAGTTACACAAAACACTAGAGATTATTGTCATCATATTGATATGATTTATGTTGTTTCTTGACTGAACAGAATGAAGGAGGTGGGTAACCACTGCTGGAAGAGGGTATTTTAATTATGGTTGAGGAGTGTGTTTTTATGGATTTTATGGAAAAAAAGAGGAGAAAGTGATTGTGACAGCATCAGTGGGTCCATGCACCCAGGTTATTCTTAGTATTTCTTCTAATCTGTGTCTCAATACTTATAACAGAAAAAAACAGAGAGGATGAACATTAAGAATGCTATGGATATAAGAAACAATGTCAATAGAATTGCATAAAATGAAGACAAATCTTGACAGATGGACTAAAAGGAAATGTATCAATTCATACAATGTAATTGTTGATGACTTAGATCTAGTAAATTATTCCCATATATTTCTGATCACTAGAATATTCTGCTCTTTAGCATTTTCTTCAGCGCAACATTAACATCTTTATTCCTCAGGCTGTAGATCAGTGGGTTCAGCATGGGCACAACAATAGTATAAAACACAGAGGACACTTTTCCTTGATCCATGGAGCCAACTGATGATGGCTGCAGGTACATGAAAGCAGCAGATCCAAAAAAGAGCAAAACTGCCAACATGTGGGAGCTGCAAGTGCTGAAGGCTTTGGACTTGCCCTCAGTGGAGTGAATGTGGAGGATGCTGGAAATGATGAAGATGTAGGAGCTAAGGATGGTCAGGCTAGGGGCAAAGATATTAAATGTACCAACACACAGTATCAGTAATTCATTGACATCGGTACTAGAGCATGAGAGCTTCAGGAGGGGAAGAAGATCACAGAAATAATGGTTGATCACATAAAATTTGCAGAAATTAACCCTTAACATGCAGGCTGTATGAGCAAATGCACAAATCAGGCCTATAATATACACCCCTAAAATCAGGGAGAAACAGACCTGATGGGACATGATGACGTTGTAAAGCAAGGGGCTACAGATGGCAACATAGCGGTCATATGCCATTGCAGCTAACATGTAGCATTCTGAAATAGCAAAAACAAGGAAGAAATAGAGCTGAGTCATGCATTGAGGGTAGGAGATGACGTTCTTCTCTGTCACAAAGTTCACCAGCATTTTGGGGGTAATGACAGTAGAATGGCAGAGATCAGTGAAGGACAAGCTGCTGAGGAAATAGTACATAGGGGTGTGCAAGTGAGAACTGAGCCCTATCAGTGTGATCATGCCCAGGTTCCCCATCACTGTGACCACATAGATTCCTAGGAAGAGGAGGAGTAAGGGCACCTGGAGTTCTGGCTCTTCTGTTAGTCCAGCGAGGATGAACTCAGTCACTGTGGAATGATTTCCTAATGCCATTTTCCTCTGGGAAGTTTCTGAAGGGGAGAAAGAAAGGCACATTTTTTTGGAGACATTTTCTTGTTATTCTTTATTTCACAAAAGATTTCATATATAAAATTAATGGCTTAGCTATCCCCTTGTTTATTGCATAATGATTTTAACTCTCGATAAATTTACCTAAGTAATATTTAACTTAATAGGTTTACATCTTAATATCAAATGCACGAAATTACTTCATATGAAAATATTTCAGCCATATAGATGATCATTTTAAATTTTTGGAGTGACTACTCCCTATTCTGAACACTTCAAGTTTTTTACCCAATTTTTGGTAATGTGAGTTTCACAGACTTAAAAACTTAGAGGACATATTGAGTATGAGAGAAGCTGGCTGAGCAACAGTGTGGAGAGAGTAAATCCTGTTTAAGTGCAGCATCCTTTATTAACAAGTATCTAATTCTTCTTGGGGTAAAAAGAAGCACATTATTACTATATCTCTAGAATTACTTTTACAAATATCATAAAATTTGTTTCTACATCAAATCTTCAAATTTTTATTATTATTATTGAAATAAAACCAAACAAACAACATTCATTAAGCAGATGTGTTTGCTGGATTGACTCACTGTTAGCCAGTGTGTGGCCCCTGGAATGAATATTTTGCCTTTGCTTGAGGGAAGAACTATGAGTAGTGGCTAAGTGAGCAGGTCTTGAAGTCCAAGTGCCTGTGTTCATACGCTGACCATCATTTACTAGTTGATGAACTTGGACAAGTAAAATAACCTCATTACCTAATTAGCAGAGGTTAGCACTCTAAAAATAATAATAGCAATTACTGGGTTTTTGGTACTTACAGTATGCTATCATTTAGAAAATAAGGGATAATTACACACTTCAAAATACAGAAATAGTAATTATAATGTTTAACCCTTTCATCTCTCTTATCTTCATTGATTAAGAAGATATGCAAAACAGTCATAAAATAAAGGGATATAGAATCACAAATCCAGCCCCTTTTTCAGCTAAGCACTAAACAGATTGCATAATTATATACATCAAAATAAAGTTCCAAGTGAATTTCACTTGAATAATATAAAAAGGAAACAGAAAATCTAAAGCATTCTACTCACAGTCAAACAAAATGGAACTTGAATCTTAAATCTAACTATAAAGGCTAAATTATTAAACTTCTGGAGAAAACACTAAAGAAAATCTTCAACACATTGAGATGGACTAAGATTTGTTAGGACACACACACACACACAAACTATACAATATTATAAATTCTGTTTTATCAAATTAAAAGCTGTTCGTCTAAAGGAAGTATTAGACAAAGTCAACGTACAAAAATCAGCGGCATATCTATACTCTAATAATGAACCAACAGAACAAGAGCTCAAGAATACAGCCCCATTTACAATCACAACAAAAAGAATGAAGTATTTAGGAACAAATTTAACTAAGGAAGTGAAAGACTTATACAAGAAAAACTGTAAGACATTACTGAAAGAAATCAACAGTGACATAAATAAATGGAAAGGTATTTCACATCCATGGACTGAAAGAATAAACATAGATAAAATGGCAATGCTACCTAAAGTAATATACAGATTCAATGCAATCTTATTCAGAATCCCAATGATATTCTTCACAGAAATACAACAAAGAATCTTAAAATTCTTCTGGGGCAACAAAAGACTCCAAATAGCCAAAGCAATCCTGAGAAACAAGAACAAAGCTGGTGGCATCACAATCCCTGACTTCAAAACATATGACAAAGCTATAGTAGTCAAAACAGTATAGTACTGGTACAAAAGCAGGCACACTGATCAATGGAACAGAACTGAAAGCCCAGAGATAAAACCACACATATACGGACAGCTAATCTTTGACAAAGGAGCCAAGAATATACAATGGAGGAAGGAAAGCCTCTTCAATACGGTGCTGGGAAAACTGAATAGCCACATGCAAAAGAAGGAAAGTAGATCATTGTCTTTCTCCATACACAAAAATAGACTCAAAATGTATCAAAGACTTGTAGGTTAGACCTAAAATCATAAAACTTCTGGAAGAAAATATAGGCAGTGCACTCTTTGATGTCAGCCTTAAAAGGATCTTTATAAATACAATGTCTACTGAGACAAAGGAAACAAAAGAAAAAATAAACAAGTGGGACTTCATCAGACTAAAGAGCTTCTGGAAGCCCAAGGAGATGAGGATCAAAATGAAAAAGTAGCCCACCAACTGGGAGAAAATTTTTTCAAATCATACATCTGATAAGGTATTACTCTCCATAATATATGAAGAGCTCACACAACTGAACTACAAAAAAAATAAAGAACCCAATCTAAAAAGAGGCAGAGGTTATGAACACACAGTTTTCCAAAGAAATGCTGTTGGCAATGCAAACTGGTGCAGCCATTTTGGAAAACAGTATGGAGATTTCTCAAAAAATTAAAACTAGAATTACCATATGACCTAGCTATCCCACTACTGGATATTTATCCAAAGAACTTGAAATCAACAATACAAAAAGACTTATGCACCCCTATGTTCATTGCAGCATTATTCACAATAGCCAAGACATAGAAGCAACCTAAGTTCTCCACGACTGATGATTGGATAGAGAAGATGGATAAAGAAAACATATATATATACACACATACACACACAATGGAATACTATTCAGCCATAAAAAAGTCATAATTGTCTCATTCACAACCAAATGGATGGACTTTGAGGGCATCATGAAAGTGAAATAAGCCAGATAGAGAAAGACAAACACCATATGATTTCACTCACTAGTAAAATATAAACAAACACGGACAAAGAGAACAATTTAGTGGTTACTGGGGGAAAAGGAGAGAGGGTGGGCACAAAGGATGCAGGGGCACATTTATATGGTGTTTGACAAATATTAATGTACAACTAAAATTTCACAACATTATAAACTATTTAGACCACAATACATTTTTTTAAAAAAAGGAACTATTAGAAAATTTAAAGCAAACCACAAACTAAGTTTTATTCAATACATGTAAATAATACTGACAAGACAATAATATGAGGAGAATCTAGCAAATTAAAAGATAAGAAAACTATTTGAACAAATATATCACAGAAGAAGACAAAGTAATAGGCAATGAGCACATGCAAAGACACTATAATCACTACTCATCAAGGAAATGAAAACTATACTAACATCATGACAGACAACGACACATCTACATTAAAATTGCAAAAACTTATAAAAACCAAAGTATTGAGGGGATATGGAGCTACTAAATCTCTCATACATAGCTGGTGAGGAAGGGTGTAAATTTGTCCAACCATTTTGGAAAACTGTTTAGCAATTTCTAAAAAATCAATCATGCACTTACAATTCAACCTGACATTTCTACTCCTCAGTATTTACCCAAGAAAAATGTAGGCACATGTCCACACAGTGACTTGTACAAAAATACACGTGGAAGCTTTGTTACTAACAACCAAAAACTAGAAATAACCCAAATATTCAACCAATGGATAGATAAATAAATTATGTTATATTCAAGGAATGGAATACTATTCATCAATAAAAAGTAATAAATCACAGATACATGCAACTACACAGATTAATTTTAAAAACATCATGTTGAGTAACAGGAGCCAGACTTAAAGAGGACATATTGTACAATTCCATTTATATAAAGTTCTAGAAAAGCACAACTAATTTATAGCGGTGGAAATGTGGTCAGTGGCTGACTGTGGTGGGACATGGAGAATGACTGGGAAAGGAGATGACAGAACATTTAGGATGATAAAAATGTGTCATATCATTATTGAGGTGTCGGTTTCATGAGGGCACAGTGTATGCATTTGTCGAAACTCATATAAAGTGAACTTTATTCTTACAATGGGTATATTCATTTTTTTATTTATCTTGATAAATTATATCTTGGTATAAACTTGATAAAATATTAATAAAATAAAATACATGATAAATTAGTAATAATAAAGAATCAAGAAGGATAAAGATCTGAACAAGATTCATAAATTTGAATGTATGAATATATATATATAAATTCTCATGGCATGCATCAACTAAAGAATGCATATTATTTTTAAAGGCACATAGAACTTTTACAGAATCATTTATATGCTGGTTCATAATGCAAGCTACAATACCTTTGCAGACGTTTTCCCTCGTTTACATTTAAGACAGTAATAATACCAATCTTACAGGTTTTCTCCTAAAATATAGACAAAGGAAACTTTCAACAGTAAAAATAAAATAATCTCTTAGAAAGCTCAGAATAGATAATAAGTTCTTAAAACTGTTTGAAAAGCATGTAAAGCAAACGACAAACTTACTAGTGAAACATGGAAAACTTTCCTCTGTGATGAGAAGGAGACAAAGATGCTTGCTTGATATCTCCAATCCTATTCATCATTTTACTGAATATTCTAGCAAACTCAATAAGGCAAGCAAAAGAAATAAAATAGTAAGAATTGAAAAGGAATAAACAATACTATTATTTATAGGTAACATGATTAAGTAGCTAGAAAAATCAAAGTAATATAGATAAAAAGTCTTAGGCTAATTAAGATTTAGACTAACAGAGTAATTAACTAACAAATAAAAATTATAGATGTAAGTTTTAATATTTGAAAATAATAGAGATTTCTCAGTGCTGGCCCTGTGGCGCAGTGGTTAAGTGCACACATTCTGCTTTGGCAGCCCAGGATTCCCTGGTTCGGATCCCCAGTGTGGCCATGGCACTGCGTGGCAAGCCATGCTGTGGCAGGCATCCCACATATACAGTAGAGAAAGATGGGCATGGATGTTAGCTCAGGGCCAGCTTTCCTCAGCAAAAAGAGGAGGATTGGCAGCAGTTAGCTCAGGGCTAAACTTCCTCAAAAAAAAAAAAAAAAGAATAGAGGTTTCTCTAATATTATACATAATCTAGATAGTTCAGAATTGAGTGTAGAGTGTGATCGGTAATAATCCCCAAAAGATCTAGAACACAGCTTCTCAACTAGACTTCCACAAAACTAAA